AATTATGGTCCCATTTAGAGGAACAGAGACCAGGAAGCAGGGGAGGTTTTAGGGCGGGGCTACAAGCTGATTGTCACGTTGCCACCATGGAGACGTGTCAATCAGGATAGAGGCGACTCGTATCCGCTGCTCTGTGTACATTTAACCAGCGCCGCAGAAAAAGCTCATCAGGAGTCGGCTGCTCATTTTTCCGGTAGGTTCGTTTTGTTTTAAGTCGCTAAAATTAGCATCTCAGCTAATATCACAGCTAATGTGAATTACAGATGCACCTTGCTAATCAAGCTAGCTAACTCCACCCTCTCGTCCAAATATGGTCACATCCGGTGCCTGGTTGCAAAAAACGACTAAATGCTCGTGCAGACTACACGACTTTCAGCGTCGGCCGATGGCCGTGCTGTTCACACTTCACAACTTGCCGTCATGTGACGGGAGTCTTGAAGTCAGGGTGTTTATGGTGCAGTGGATAAGATGCATGCCTTACACATATATATATATATATATACAGTATGTATATATATATATAGCAGTTGTAAGTTGCTTTGGATAAAAGCATCACCTTTGATGCGTCGTCGTTGTGGCGTTCACACTACGTGACTGATCGGTGACAGGGGGTCACACACTACACGAGCTGACAGCAACTGAGTCACCTGATGCTGGTCTCCAAACTATGTTTGGTCAAGAAAGCACACGTGAAATGAGCGATCCTGCACACGAAACATTATATTTACATTATTGTTATTTTAAAGACAAAGAATCTGGGTGAAAGAATGGATTAGCACACACAGAGAGCAGAGATCGTCTGAGCTACAGACTGTTACATGCACAGTGCACTATGAGTACAGAATCCGGGTATCTCATAGTGCACTGCATTTTGCAGTAGTTGTGATTGTGAATGCACTTGTGCACTCAAAGTAAGTGTAAGTGTAAGTACAAAAGGGTACGAGTTGAGACACAGCACAAGTGTTTTTTGTGTTTTTTCCGACTGCAGAAATACTTAACGATGGTAGCAAAGATTTGATCCATCGTTAGCATGTAGGGGTGAGGGTCTGCAGCCTTTAGCCGTTTTAAATTCTTAGACCTGGACATGAAACTCTATCAGCTGACTAAACAAGTAAAAACATTCCTGTTCGTTGGAAAGTTGCACAACTACATTTCTAGACCTTTGGTGGCAAAGGGTAGTTGGAAAACTATTGTAAGTGTCAAGCTAACTGCTAACACACCAACCAGCTCACAATAGCTCACAAAGTTAATTGGAGAAACTTTGTCTCTTGTGCTTCACTGCAAACTTTTTTGTAAACCAGTGTGGAGCCATTTATATTTGGACAGAGGAAGCTAAATGAAAGTGGACGGTGCAACTTTGCTAATGAGCTACTCCTGTTTCAGATTTGCTAGCTCTCAATTTCCTTCAGTGGTCTCGCCAGATTTGCAAATGAATTGATCTTGCCACGAAATTTCTTCTCACAAAAGGGATGGGTTAAACCTAACCCCGACCCTAAAAGGCCACAATAACTTCCAGATTACTAATTAAAAACATGCAATAATTAGATTTAATTTGGTGCAATGTGTTGTTTTTGTAACTTTTCTGCTGTCCTGCTCCGGCGGCTGTTCCAGCGCCTGGGGGGAAATGTGCTGTCATGGCGGATTGTGTTTCCTTCTTTATAAAAATATGATGTACACAGATAAGGAGACGCAGAGATGTTGAAATGGTCTTTGAGATGCTCAGCGGATAAAAGAGAATTGAAGGAAGCGCTCGTAGAAAAAACATTCTGCCTGGTGCGACACGTTTTGGAAATTCCCATAAATGCTCAGGAGAACTCAGGAGGACAGAGGACGGTGTGTGTTCGGGTGTGTCCTGTATGCGAACACAAGTGAAAGCCAAAGATTGTCAAAACAAACTGAGATAAGAAAAGAATGTGTGTTTACTATAAATATACTGTTATGTAAAGAGTTGTTAGAGGGTAAGTTTTGTATTTTTCAGCCTGGCCCCTGTCTTACCGTGTTTTTGACAAGTGGGAAGTGACAAGTGAAGTGGGACAACATTTCTTGAAATTGCTGCAACTTAATCCTTACGCCCCGTCAATGTACATCCACTAAAGTGCTTGTTATTGTTAGTACAAGTGTCAGTCAACATTATAGAAAGATTCCCTGCAGAGACAAACCCTCTTTTAAAGAGTAACATCCTTTTTGTTTCCACAGAAAAGGTCGCTGTATCGATTTCGTCAGAGCACCCAGACTCCATTGATAAAAACAGTATTTTTACCTCTCTGGTTTCCTGCTTCCTCGATCAGTAAGTTTCTGTGTGTAGTTGTTTAACGTTGCTGTTTTTAAACCTTTAAAGCACCAAAGTCAAAAACCACAAACAAACCAAGTGACTGAGGCAGCGGTGGACCAGAAACTCCTGTTTTCTGTGAGCTAAAATTATGGTTTTTGTCAAGGGAGTCTAGTGGCTTTGAATAGAGCGACTATTTGCAACCAGTGGTGGAAGAAGTATTCAGGTATTTAACTTTTAAGAAAGTGGTTACACCACACTGTGGAAATACAAGTATAAGTCCTGCATTCAAAATGTTACCGAAGTAAAAGTACAGAAGTAGAAACACAACATAAAAGTACTAAACAGCAGAATTGCCCTTGTCAGTGTTATATTATTGTATTATAGCTCATACTTTCAGATTATTATTCCTGATTCATTTATATTAAAAAGCAGTTTATTGTTGTACCTTGCTGAAGCTGGCTATTTTACCTAGTTTATATACATTCTGTGGGTAATTATCTCCAAACTCAGTAGATTTTCTGTGTAAAAACTTGTGTAGTAGAGTCGAAGTATAAAGTTGCGTAAAATGGTAATACTTACTCAGAATTGTACAGTAACATACAGTACTTGATTGAATGTGCTCTACTACTGCTGGATTCAACCCATGTCAGACCAAAATGCTGGACCACACAAATTTAAAGAGTTGTTTAAGGGTTAAGACTTAGTTTTAGGGTTCATGTTACGGTTAGGGTAAGCAGTTAGTTAGTTAATGACATTTTAACTTCTAAAAAGCTGTATCTTGTTAATAGAACTTGTATCTTATTTATAGTTTATTATGCTCGATATTGTTTATATTGTACAAAATGTTATTGACGATAGTGTTATTGTTGTTGAATATCCCTGTTTGAATAATTTAATAAAGTAGATTTAAAAAAGGGGTTAGGGAATTCACCATGTCACTGAGATGTCTCCACAGGAACAAACACGTGAACGGGGCGTAAAAGATGACATATGAATATGTGTTTGTGCAGGAATTTGTGTGCATTTGCTGTATTTGTCAGTGTTTGCCGTCACCTGCGAGTGTGTTTTTCCCTGCAGCTCAGAGGAAGACAGGCAGCAGCTTGTCTCTGGATGAACGTCAACACACACAAATCTGGTCTTCACTCACCACATATATTTCAATCTCTGCTTTCTAACCCAACTGCTCTCTAAAAACCACATAACCAGATGTCAAAACTTCATGTGTTTATTTTATCCAAAGGTTGATTTATTTTGTTGTTTATGATTAACTTCCTATTTAGGGGCAGGTTTTCTTCTTCTGCTTAAAGGTCAAAGGTCAGTGACCCTGAAACTGGCAGCCATTTCTTTCAGTCTTGCTCTTGAAACTTGAACGTGTCATATTGTGTGTAACCCAAAACTGAACCCCCTCCGAGCCGTGAACATCTCTGCTAACGATCCCCTCGTTTCCTTTCCTGAGCTTCTCTACATTTATTTCCAAGCCATCGTTTCTTCACCGTTTCTTCTTTCATCACGTCGGCCTCATGCTGCCGTTCGTCTCCCGCCCTCTCTTTGTGTCCGTGACAGAGAACGGCAGACAAAAAGGCACAGGTGAGTCCCGGGCTTCGAGGCACAAAGGAAGAAATCCGACACCTGGAATGTTGTCAAAGGTCTGGGAAAGTCAGGATGTGGTCTCGTACGCCACAGGACTGAGGCTGGAAAGTAATGCTGTGGAACTGTGTATTTACATTTTTGTTACTTCATACTTCTGCACCACTACATTTATCTTAAAACCTAAGTTACCAGTTACTTTGCAGATTAAGATTAACAATAAAATATCTTGTTCCCTCCAGGATCTCACAGCCCTTTTTGGTTATTGTTGTGGCAGCTTTTCTAAAAAAATTGCAATGTATTTTGGGGCGTTTTTTGGGAATGATTTGTGGGAATACGTGAAACCTGCAAAGGTAGATGCTATTTTTTTTAACTTTAGAATTATAGTTGGATCATTAAACAGTCCCTCCGGGATTTTGCGGGCCAAAACCAAACCCTGCATATTTAAACCAGCTCATCTTGATTCTTTCTTGCAGCTGAGTGGCATGCAGCAGCCTGCGTCTCACTGTCTCGTCTGACGTTTTGTGAAAGTTTACCGCTGCTTTGGTGAAGAAGATCTGAAGCGCTGTACTCACAGGGTTTTGTTGAATTTGTATTAATAGTGTATTATAAATTAAACTATGCAGCAGTATCTAAAGTAGTTATTAGCTCCACATCTATCAGCTGCAACATCAATAATTATGATTGGTTTAAATTTTTCTGAAATGGACCCCTCTGCATGACGAGTGCTTTAAATACTTAAAGCATATTTTGATGCCAATTCTTTTGTACCGTTACATGTAACAGGGTATTTCTACACTGTGGTACTGCTACTTTTACTTGTGTAAAAGCTCTGAGTACGACTTCATCACTGCTGAGGTTATACACGATCCTGGAATTGATAAGCAGTCAATAAAACCTCAACACAAGAAAGCACATTCATTACTTCCAATAATGCTACTCAGCTTTGACATTAAAATTATAAAGTTTTTTAATGAACATCTTTGATTTTATGCCCTTCATTTCTTCAGCAATAGTCATTTTAATGATCTCTCTGCAATATTTTCCCTCATCAGTGGCCGTTTTTGTTTTGGCACAGTCTTCATGATTTCCTCACTCAGAAAACAAGAATATTAAAAAACAGATTGGGACAAAGGCAACGTTTTAAAATGTTAATGTGCATAAAAATATAGCTTTATTTCCAATAATAAATCAGAACCTGCATGCAGAAACCAATGATTCATTGGCTTCTCCACTCCAATCGGTGATTCACATGTGGTGTTTGTGACATTAAGCAGCAGAACATACGTTTCTCTCCCATGCTCGCCGACCAGACGTGGGGCTGATTACCACTTTATTCCCTCCTGAGGTCGGCTCAGACAGCTGACCTGGATAATATTTAACTCCCCATAAAAAAAAAAAAAAAAAAAGGAGGACAGGTCCAAATCTAATCAGTGACTCCTCTGTCTGAGGTCAAGGCCAGCTGACACTTGTTTCCTTTAAGTGTCTCAACAAGTATCAGTGTTTTCTGGATTACATTAGTTTGTAGGGAGGTGAAAGACCTTGAATCAGAGTCAAGACAAATCTATAACCGGGTGGCGGCAGAGTCCTTGAATTTCCAAAAACATTTTGGCTACAGAGAAAAATCAAAAACAAAAAGTCGTAATCACCCCCAGGTCTGCTCCTGACAACATGGCTCATCAGCATCAACATCCCCTGAACAACGAGATGAACGCCGACTACACATAAGCGATCCTTCTACAAAACAAACAAAAACACATAAATACAAAAGCAAAAAAAACAAAAAGTCTAAAAAGATAATAGAAACTCTTACAAAATAAAAAGTTTCAAAACTATTTGCCTCTGAAAATCTTAAACTAGTGTATATAAAACTTTTAAAATCACATATACAACAGCTTAAAAAGAGCGGGGGAGGGGGGGGCACCCCAAACCTGAAAGAAGGCAATAAAATAAATTTGACAGTTAAATTAATACAAAAAAAATAAAAAGGTGAAGTAGTTGATCTGCTGGAGGAAAAACAACAACACTGAAGATCAATGAGAGGAGGCGCGTTAGTATTAGCATTGGTAGTATCAAAACAGCCTTACAGTAAATCACATGGGCGTTACTGCCGGGGAGAACAAATACAAACAGGAACAACTATTTGGCATTTAAATATTTGGTAGATATTTTTTTTTTTGTTGTTGTTGCCGCCAGGATGTGGCTTAGTACCAAGATAATATATATATTTTTTTCTGCTTTTTAAAAATTTTTTATTTTAATGTAATGACTATTTACAAATCCTTGGTAGACCAGTCTGTGTGAGAAACGTGAGCATAAAAACCTGTTCATTAAAAGGCTTTGGCGAGCGCTCAAAGACCCCATAATGAAAGTATAAAAACTAACAAACTGTCTGTGTAGCTTATTGAGAAAGCAGGATTTAAAAAAAAACAAAAAAAAAAACAAACAGAAAGTACCTAGTACTGGTACTACCAGTTTCTCCGATCACAGAGCTTAAGATTACTTTTTCATTGAACAAATAGTCACAAGTTACTGATTTCCACGAGTATAAATGTTAAGTTAATGTGTGTAACCTCACTGAGTACAGGAAGTGAAGTAGAGTCTAACATTTTGGGAAATACGCTTCTTTACGTTACGCTCAGAACTCACTTAAGTGAAGCTAGCCGTTAGCTTAGCACAAAGACTGGCATCAGGTAGCTAAAACCCAAACTTTAAATTCTCCTTTTTTAAGAGGGTTAAAGTTTCAGAATTACAAACAAGAAACTCAGCTCAAGTTCCTGATTTATCTGACTTTGGCGCTTTAAAATACAGACGTCCAATTAACCCAAACGTATCGGATAGAGCGGTATGTCGTCCGCATACAGCATCTCTGTAATCATGCAGTTGTTTTAAGAGGACCAGGCTAGCTGTTCCCATCCGTTTCCAGTCTTTACGCTAAGCTAAGCTAACCCTCTGGGGGCTGTAGCTTCATAGGAGGAGGCATCAATCTGAACACAACCTTTTCCTTTAAGCTTGAATGTGACAGTTTCAGCAGCGATAGACGTCATGGTGTCGAATCTCTGCTCCCTGCAACACATGACCGAGCGTTGTGTGTTTGTGTGTGTTTGAGGGGAATGTGGGTGCGTCGCCCTGTACGAGCATGTTGTTGGACTCCAGTCGAGCTCGCCGTAATAACAAAGACAAACCCTGGAGGCACCGCGGTAATTATTATTATAGTGGTAAAACATCTTCCAGCCGTTTGAAGTACTCTCCAAAAACAGGCAGCAGTGTGTGTGTGTGTGTGTGTGTGTGTGTGTGACCTGGGTCATACAGTATTTGCAAATTCCTCTTCGGGATTAGTTTAGCTTACTTATCTGGCGCTGCGTGCCAGACTGATGGGGACTTTCCCGCCACATGAGGAGATACAAAAACATGCCAGAAGGTTTAAAAACAGTCTTTTAAAGGTCATTTTAATGAACTGCTGCTGCGTCTGATAACAGAACAGAATTATCTTGCGGCGCTCGCTCTTTGCACTTAAAAATAATCAGCAGAAACAATGATTTGCAAATACTCGTTTGAGCGTCTCTTCTCTCACTGCGAGTTCAGGATAAAAAAATAAAATTAACAAATATTGTAATTACTAACGGATGACAGAGCGTGAACCGTTACAGTGAGGGATAACATGAACCCAATTATTTCCCACCATGAATGGATCTTTAATAGAAAAAAAAAAAATAAAATAAAATAAAAATCTCTTTGCATTACAAGGAGTTTGTTTTAAAAAAAACAAAATCTAATAAAAATGTCAAAGAAGTCATTTTCTACAGTAACGTGAGGAGCTGCAGTCCAAGAAACAGGATCAGAGGAGGAAGAGGGGGAATAAATAACTGGACTGTTAATGCGTACCGAGACAAACGTCATTGCACAGCGTTAGTGTTTAACGGAGAAAAAAGAAAAGGAAGTGAAGCGTTGAGGAAGAGGAGTTAAAAAAAGTCCTGTGTTTTTTTTCTTTTGATGTGGGGACAAAAATAATAAAAACACAAGATAAAATAAAACCGTAGTACCGCAGCTGAAATAGTCCACTACTGCTGCTCCTTTTCCTTGTTTGAGAGAGAGAGAAGCACGGCCAACAAAGCCTCTGATTGGTTGAGAGAGCACCAATAATATTAGTTTACATCAGGTAGGAGGAGTCAAGTCAATCGATTGTGTTGTCGGGGGAGGGGGGGGGGGGGGCTTCTCTCCTGATTTACAGAGCGTCACTCCGCTGAAGGAAAGTGAGGAGGAGGACGAGGTATGATGATGGTGGTGGTGATGAGGCACTGGTTGGGTTTTTAAGGGTCCAGGGGTGAGGTGTGTGTGGTGGATCAGGGTCTACGCGTAGATCTCCGTGGTGGGGGCCTTCTTGTAGATGGGCTTCTTCCCCAGGTCGTAGCTGCCCTCGTCCTTCTTCTTCATGCGGTAGATGAGCAGGAGGATCAGGAGGACGGCGAACATCAAGCCGACGGCGCCGCCCGCAATCAGGGCTGGAAGAGACGAGAGAGGGACAGAGGGGTTAGACTTTTTAAAGCTTGAGGAAGGGGACGGGGGTAAAACGTCTCAGTCTTAAATATAATAATATCTGAGCGGATCCAAAGAATCAATGAGGCCGATCAGTTTCTTTAAACCGATCAGATGCAGTCGCAGTTAAACTCTCTAAACGTAATAATTTTGAGAAGGATCTTCAGCACTTGGATCAAGTAGCTCTCAGATGTGTCAAGATTATTTTATTATTTGTATATATATATATGTATATATATATATATATATATATATATATATATTATATATATATATATATATATGTGTATATATATATGCTGCGATAATTATTTTTACTTTGCGTACCGAGCATTCGTTCCTTAGGAATTAATCGTGGTTTAATTATCGGTCAGCTGTCATTTGGGTCTATATAAGAAATCTGGGGACGCCCGTGGAAACCACCGGCGTCTTCCTGCAACAAGTCGCGTCTCACGAGATTTCCGAGTCAGAACTGTCCTTGAGCGAGACTTTAGTTTCCCTCCCATGATGTTGTCAGACACCTGTGGTGCAACAGTCCGAGCCTGTCGGTGGCAAAAAGAGGCCCTTTCTGTGGACGCCATTTTGACGGGCCTGCTGGTTCAGCTACCTACTAGTCATTTTGATCAATAAAAAAGTGACTTTAAAATACTGAAATTTACCCCGTAACTTTGGGGGAGTTACAGTTCACCTTGGGGAACTCGATGCTTCCCTGAGAAGCTCGTGCAGGACTTAAACGTCTCAGGAAGTGTTTTCACCGTCCTTCGTTTGTCTGTTTCTCGACCTGCAAAGATTTCTAAACTGCTCTTTTATTGATCTCTGTCAAGAACAGTTAAAAAACCTGATTTTGTGTTCGTACCTGTGCAACAGTGTTTCCGGGGGTGATAAATTACAAACAATATATTTTATTTAAGTTCTGGTTTAAACCTAGTTCTTCCACTGTTTGAGCAGCAAGGCTCAACCACTGAGGACCTGTACTGACCTGCCAGGACCTCCGTCTTGTTGAAGATGCTCTCGTCGCTGGCGTGCGCCATGAGGACGTTGGATGGGTACTCCTCGCCGGCATCTTCGATATTCCTCCGCAGGGGGATGTCGTTACCCTCCCGGACGATCTCCACCTCGTTGACGGTTGGCCGCACCGGTCGCTCCACCTCTGGGATCTTGTTGTCGTTCACTTCGGGCTGAGGATGAAGAGAGAGGGGCGGGGATTTTAAATTCCTCCCTGCTGTCTTGGCACAACGTTTATAAAGTACGACCCTGAGCTTCTTCATTAAAGAGATTTTATGACCCGAGAAGTGAGAATTGGTAAAGACATGATCTGCTGTCACTATAATCGCTGAATAGATGAACTGAAACACCTAAAACCTTGAATGAGGTGTGAATGTCTCACCTTAGCGGATGTCTTGGACTCTCTTTCAGGTGACGCAGTTGCTGCTGTGGACAGAAACAGATTTTAGAGGAAAATTCAAAGAGAATACGTCCCTAATTACAAGATAAAAACGCTGTAGCTTAAAAAACAGGCAGGTTTAACATGTTCTAAGAGAACTCGTAAAGACCGACCTCCATCACCAGATCCGGAGAACTCGTCCTCATCGTCCTCATCGTCGAACATCGTTTCGGTGTAGTAGTCGTCTTCGTCGTCGTCGTCTGTGAAGCCGAAGTCTGAGCCGTTCTGAGAGTCTCCCGACGACTCGAGGTCGACGCGGTGTGTCGACATGGCGGCCGTCTGTGTGGTCTTCATGGGCATCCATGTTTCCGTCTCCCTCACCTGCTGGGACACCAGAGACAAGAGAACGGCTCAGAAGGATAGAATCACAAAGAACGTTCAAACTCGCCCTCCTGGCGCCGTCGATTTCTAACATTAAAATAAGGTCAGAGGAGTCATCCTCTGGGGACCATGACTGTCTGTCTGTTATATATTTTATATTTCACTCCCGCCATCACTCTGAACCACAGACAAGACCGACCTGCCCCAGACTAAAGCCCTGAAACACTCCATGTTCTCCATCTGTTGCAGACTTTTTAAACAAACACCCACGTCTCTCCTCGTCGTCCTGAAGCCACACAGACAGAAATAACGACATCTTACAAATTAAAAAAAAAAAAAAAAAACAGACTAGTTCCTCTGAGGCTACAGATAAACATGAGCAGGGACACAACTCTGCGACTAGTACAGACAAAATTGATCAAAAATGAATCTTTAATTCAATACAATGTCTAAAAAACAGCTACGAGTTCTGAGAACTGAGAGGCGTCCACAAACGTCTTGTTTTGAGTCCAAAAATAATCAGTTTCCAAACATAACACACAGAAAAGCAGACATTATTATTACTGCACAGTTGGGAGGATTTGTTACTTTGACTTCTGGTCAGACAAAGCAAACAATTTAAAAGACGTCACACTGGCTTTAAAAAAAAACAAAACACACGATTAACAGAAGAAGCCATTGCTAGGAAGATTCACCAGCAATGAAAATAATCCTTCGCTGCAGCGCTGCATACGATGGCTGTAATCACCGAGGAGCTTAACATAACGAAGACACATCCACCTCCTCTAATCACATTAGCACACTTAGTTTCATTGACAGCGTGAATGGGATTAAAACACAGGAGACACACACACACACACACACAGACACACACACACACACACCCTCCATCAGCCTTATTATCATTACAGCACACACAAATCAGCATTAGGGCTACACAAACAGAGGGATGGGGGTTGGGGGGATGGGGGTTGGGGGGGGGGGGGGGGGGGGTAACTGAGGCAAGCAGAAAATAAATAAATATATAAAACCTTTAAAGTGTTTTATCCACATGGAAACACATGGTTTCCACCAATCTGCTGCCTTAAAAGTACTCGTTACACGTTTTCAACAACAAGATTAAAATGTTTAAAACAACATAAAAAGGAGTTACTGCTTTTCTTTTTCTCTATCAATTAAAATCAAATTTATGTAAACTTATAAAGCAAAAAAGACAAATAAATATGGTTCCAGCTTCTAAAAAAGGTGAATGTTTGCTGCTTTTTTTGTTGGTTTGTTTTTGCATTTTAAGTTGAAAACTTGGGGGATTTTGGACTGTTGGACGGACAAAACCAGACATTTAAAGATGTCAGAGCTCTAGAGAAGTTTTCTATAGTTGTTTTGAGTTTTTAAATGAACTGATGCATTAACAGAAATAAATAGGCGACAGATTAAACTATCAGAATCACTAGCTGTAGCCAGGGTGCAAAATTAGCACACACGATTGGCTTCACTCACCAGCCCCAAAACACAATAGTGATCTACTGACAAAAAAGGTACATTGTGCACCCTGGCTGTGGCCCTTAATCAATGAAACCGATTCTTCTTCCACGATCGAGGTCACCTTTAACTGCTGAACCAGGCCTGATTGGAAAAATAAAAACAATCACACGCAGACACACTGGCGGCGTGACGCTGTGCGATAGGAGGCGGTCGATCGATGGGGTTTTGTTTAGACGCCACTGAACGAAGACTCGAGACACCGGAGAGCAGAAACAGAGCCCGCTCTACTTGAGACCTTCTATTTACTGAGACCAAAAGCGGACCACAAATCACACACTGGAAAGACGCCTGGGTTTCCCACAACATCCTCGTTTACTCTCCCCTGTTGACATCATGAGTTCTCCTTCTAAATCACTTCCATCTGCGAGGGGTCTTAATGCTGAAGGGGTAGCTGAGCCTCCACACATTGTGTGTGTTCTCAAATACTTGGCATGGTAACGACGTGTGTGTTTGAAGGTAATCCTCTCTGCCTCTGCCTCTAAAAAGCAGCCTATGAGAGCAGGAGGAGGGGCCCCATTGTGGCTGCACAAGGGCTTCAAACAAGGGGCGGCCATTTTACTGCTCTAAAGCAACAAGGTGGGCTGAAGAGGGGGAAAAAAACACGCCGTGTGTTCGCCTAATTACATTTTCTGACTTCTGTTTTTAAAATTCACCCTCCCCCCTTTAATCCTTTTCATTATTGTTTCTGTTTAAAGACAAATGAACAGTTTCAAAAGAACATCCGGAGCAGTTTTTATACATATTAATGTTCCCATCGGGTTCTTAAAAGGCTCTTTATGTTATTTAACTCTGATCATTTTACAAAAGTGGACACAGATATAAATGCAGTTGAACTGTCAATGTCCAGGTCAGTTTGTTCACCGTTGATCACGATTAATCGGATAACCGGTTAATTGTCGACTATTTTGATAATTTATTAAGCAGCTTGAGTCATTTTTCTTTAGATTCCAGCTTCTTAAATGTGAATATTTTAAAGTGTCTTTGCTCCTCTGTGACAGTAAACTGAATATCTTTGGGAAACACAGATTTTTTTATCCAAACAACTAATTGAGAAACAGATTATTGAATAGAATAATGAAAATAAGATTTAGTTGCAACCCTTAAAAAGGTGAATGCTTTAACTCTTAACCTATTACTTTTTTTACTCTCCATCTCCACAGGTGGTTTTACAGGTAGGTTAATCACAGCTGTTGGCTTCTTACACATAATCAACATCACACCACTTTAATGCGTATTTAATACAAATACGTGGATATAAATTTTTCTAATCAAATAATTTTAATTTCTTTCTAAGTATATGTAGTTGAGCTCCTCTACCGTCTCCCCCGGGCAACTGGGAGTGAAGTGCTGCTGGTTGGAGAGGAATCAGGGCTCTATTATGTCCTCATTTAAACCCTTTACAAGGACACGGGGGGAGTCCTGATCCTGTGTGTGTGCCTAAATCCTAAACCCCATAATGGTTGACTACTGGCTCTTCATTTCCTCGCCGCCGCTCAGATGGAAGTCGACTGCGGCGGCGTGCTGGAACAAGCCCACTGAGTCACATCACAGGAATCATTCAGATGATCCGGCGGTTTATTCCATTATGTGCGCCACTGAAATCTCTTACATCATTCCTGAGGCATGTTGTTATCTCTGCGGTTTTGGCCCCCACACCTCTGCGCCACAGTTTACGGCCTTGTTGGATGAAGAAATATTTTTGTCTGCTTTTGAGTTTAAAAACAAACAAACGAAAAAAGTCCACTTTGACTTCCACTCAGTTTGTCTGCTAAGAGAAAGACAACAGGTTCAATACCCAGAAAAGCCAATATGTTCACCTCCGCAAAGTCAATAAACACCTTCCTCCTGGCCGCCCCTGACCTTTAAACCCCCCCACGGAGAGACCATTTGCAGCCCTGTGTACAGTCTTACAGGCGCACTGAGACCCGTCCCAACAGGCCAGGTTTATTCAGCCAGGCGGAGGAGGAACCGGAGGATCAAAAGCCGAGGGAGTTTTGTTACGGTTAAGTAATGATGGCAGCCGCTGAATTTACTATCAGATGTTCAGCCTTTACTATATTCTCCCAGGAGGCAAAGCCAAGGACGGGATCCAGGCCAAGTCCCCGTCTGCCTGGACAAAAACAAGCTCAGTCCAGGAATGTTTTCGAGAACAGCGCTCCCACAACAACAGAGCAGTGGAAGTCTCATACGTGCCATGACAGCCTGAAGACATTAAAACCCCTACAGGGTGATGGGCGCAGGGTCACCGACTCAAATTTATTAACAATAACAGAGAAACCTGAAGGCCGGTGCGTCATTTTGACAGACTAAGATCTACCGTAATGTTAGGGAACTCGCATGCAACACTGACAATATACACAATAAACAATAGATGACAGAATGAAGGACAGCGAGACAGTCTGAGCGCAGACTCTGGATGTTTTACTTCAAGTTACTGTACAAACAAAACAAACCGCATGAATGCATTTTACAGAAACTAGCGTCTGAACCAGCGCAGACTGGCCCAGACAAAAGCAGAGGACAGTCTGAGCAGTGGTTATGTAACACAGTCAACATGGAAATCAGCTCCTGAAAGAGGGCCTGTCTGTCTGCTGAGCCCAGATCCACCCAGCAGGGACTGGACTTTAAACACAAGAGACTTTAGTGTCAACAACTGTAGTAAAAACCAGGAACATCTGGGTGATTATGTATTAATTCTGTTTTATAGACTGACAATAAATGTACACGTTAGGCGAGATTCACCGGCTGTGTGACCCTCACGTTAACGTAATGGGCAAACAGCAGAGCACACACACAGGCCAACCCACCATCCTGGAAACCTGATCACTCAAGGAACAACAACAACATCCTTCATGTACAGTAAACGCACGAGGGCTCAACAAAAGCCTTTCTAGGAATGTGGAGATCCTGAAAGCTCATGATTACCATCTCTGCTGCTAACCGCCGTTTTCAGGAGAAAACCAGGAGCGTGTCCATTACAGCGACACCTACATTACTCCAGAGCAAAGAAAACAAGAACAAAACTAAACCCCTCTTTGCTTCAGGTTTGGTTATTTGTCAGCCATTTTAAAAAGCCACTTACGAGCCAAACAGGGTCACCATTTTGTCCTCCCATCAGTGATTCACAACCTCATTCATTTCGGCCTAATGTGCAACAGCTGATAAGCAGCCGGATGTGGAGCACTGCCAAACCAAAAAGAGTTCCAGCTGACCAAAATGGATTTAATGGAGAGAAGAGGGCAGCAATATTTCTGTTTGCGCTCCGTGTCGAGCATCTCATCTGATTTTGCAGCAGTAATGGAGCTCAGCTCTCTGTTTTGAAGAAAAATATTGGCATTTCCTCAATCCTCCTTTGTGTGTCTGTCTGCATCTTTATTCCAAACCCACACAATGATTCCTGCTCTCATTAAGCCTTCCAACAGTTATCGCTGCAGACGACCTTTTCATCGTCTGGTCCACCG